GGACATATTTATGAAATCTATACAGGTTAGTTGTGTGGTGGATTTATGTTTTTAATAAATGGAAACGATGATTGTTAGAAAATATGTTTGCAAATTTACTCAGAAGTCGCATTGTTTCATTTTTTGATCGTTATCTGCTGAAGAAAATAGTTGCAAAGGCAGAAAAACATTTGTAGAGAAGATACAAATCGTATATGAAGTTGAAAAACAGGTATTCTGTTGTTCTATAGTACTGAATAGTCTCATCTGTAGAGGAAGCTCAAAAATTTCTGGACAGGACTCTGCCAATAGAGAAAAATTTAAAATATAGTTCACAAGAAAGAGGAGATCATGTTCAGTGCCATGATGTTCTGAATTCGTGACTCTGTTAATTTAATGATTCTGTTGGAGAAGAATTCCTTTGGCATTGATAGGAATTCTTAATGCTTATCCAGAAACTCTTCTTGGTAATCCGGATAAACGAGAACAATATCGTTTAAATGATGATATGCTTTTCTTTCATCGGCATCCATCATTATTCTCGTATATATTATTTTATTATATCCAAGGATTTATTCAACGACCTATTAACATTCCACAAGATATATTTATTGAAGAATGTCGTTTTTTTTCTATACCTATTAATTATGATGAAGATGAAAATTTAATCTTACGTTATAATAAAATAAATATAAATCAAACAATAAAAATAAAATATTTTAATTTAGTTTGTTTTCTAATAAGTATTTTATCTTGTATAATATTATTTTTTAATGATTTATCAAGATTAGATTTTATTTATAATGAATTTATTTCAAATGAACAAATAATATATAATTTTATTTTATCAAATTCAATTTTTATTTGGATTGATATGTGTTGTACAATATGGTTTATGATAGAATTATATATAAGATTTTTTTATTATTCAGATTACAATGAATTAAATCAAAATTTTCAATTATTTATTGATATTATTTCAATTGTACCTGTTATATTATGTTTATTAATAAATATTTTATCTCAATGGTTTTCTTATGTAAATTTATTATATCCATTTTTAATTTGTTTAAAATCATTTCGAATTCTAAGATTTACTCGTTATATTTCAAATTTAGATTTAATAAGAAAAACATTATTTTTATCATTAAATAATTTATCAATAACATTAACTCTTTGTTGTTTATTTATTATACCATTTGGAATAATTATTTATCTTATAGAAAGAATTGATCCATCTTCAAATATTATTGATCCAAGTATAGGTCTTGGTTGGGCTATTGAAACATTAACAACAATTGGTTTTGGTCAATATATTCCACATACATATCAAGGAAGAATTTTATCGATTTTTGCTTGTATATTTGGTTTAATTATATTAGCAATGCCAATACCGATTATATTTGAAAGATTTCAGATTCTTTATCAAAATTCATTGAAAAAAAATTTATGGATTAAATACTATTGATATTAATTGATTTACTCTTTTTTGTTTTCATTATTTATTTTAGATTAAAAATTTTGTTTTGTTTTTTTTTGCTAATTTAAAAAAAATGCCAAATAATAAATGGACAGCAGATTTAAAAACTATTCTTCAAGTTGCTAAAGCTCGTCTTGATGTACGTGAAAAGAAAAAAACTGAACAAGTTGCAAAAGAACGTTATACAGTAGCAGATTATGTACGAAATAATAAAGTTCCACGAGCACGAATCGGTAATAATTTATTAAATTGTAAATTAAAATTTCATTTTCTTTTATCATTCTAGCTGTTGAACATCTTGTACGAGAAGATTATAAAATAGAAGCAATGGATCGTATTGAAGCTTATCTTGATACATTGCTTATGAGATTGCAATTAATTAAAGATCGGCCGTATGTATTCTTTTAAATTTTTTTTGAAATATGAAATTGGATAAGTTTTTCTTGTTCAGTTCTTTTAATCTCTCATCGATTCTTAGTAAAGAAATCTATCGTGTGCTTTGATTTCACTTTTGATTAGCTTTGGAGTGTATTAAGCATAATAAATATTGTTAAAAGATTTTTTTAAAATGCTTTTTTTTGATTTATTATTTTGTTAGAAAAAACGGAGCAGTTGATCCAGCTATTGAACAACCATTAGCAAATATTTTATGGGCAGCACCATATCTTACACAAGATATACCTGAAATTGGTCAAATAACATTAATGTTTAAAAAACATTTTGGACCAGAGTAAGTTTTACAAAAGTATATTAAAATTATTAATTAAATTTTTTTTTCAAGATATGTATCTATGTGTGAACAAAATAAACTTAGTTTGGTTGATGTTGATTTATTAAGATGTTTAAGTTGTGATCTTATACCGAAATTACTTATTGAAAAATATTTAGTTGAAATATGTCGAAGTCAAAATGTTCCATTTGAACCTGATCAAACAGTTATGGCACAAGATGAATTTTGGACTATTGGACAAAAATATATTCAAAGTTCCAGTGTTAATGATGAAAAAAAACCACCTCCACCACCATCAAGTGGAGGTGCTCCATCAACAGGTGGTCATGGAAGTGGAGGAAATTATGTTAATTCACCAAATATTCATTTAACTCAACCAAGTGCACCGGAGGTAAAATATTTCTTTTTTATTTGATTGAAAAAAAATTTCGTAGATTCAATAAAAACATTTCTTTATTACTTATAAAAATTTCACCTAATTTTAATAGTTTGAAAAACCACCTCCAACTTATTCAGCAGTAAGTGTAATGTTTTAATTATAATCGAGTGTTTAGTTTGTAACTTGGCTGTATTCTATGCATGACGTTCTTTCTTGCTTGTCTGTTTAACCTTATGGATTAATAATAATAATGAAGAAACCATATAATTGATTCTTAACATCAGGTTTACTAATACAAATATATTTTTATTAAGCTTTTTTTTTTTTGGGAAGTATACATTGAGCAAACCTAAAAGTGTGCTTCTCAGTTATATGAACAAATCATTCAAGGCAAATTCTTGTGTATTCAAAAACTAATTCGCATAGAATTCAATTTGACCAATCCGATGATTATTTGTATAGATTTGATAAAGTTTAAGTTGACATTGTGAAAAAAAAGGAATTTAAAGATTAGAAATTGAATACAAGTACTTTCTTACGATAGGCTCTTAATACTTGTCCGTTATTTCATATATATATACAACTAGAGAACTCATTGGCAGTTATAATAAGCTATAATTCTTGTTTTTGATTTAACTTTCTGTTCAAATAGAAAAACCAAAGTACTTAAAATTTGTATGTATTCTCCGTAATGCGACACTTACGTAGGGTATCGGGATGAACTGCAGATGTGAGTGTGACTAAGGTGGAAATATTCACATCTACACCTACAGTTCACATTCAGACTATGCTTAAATGTCGATTAGGTGAGGTCACGCGAAAAAAATACCTTTGCGCAGAACTGTCGGCGAACCATATTTTTAACTTTTTTTTTCGCATAAATAGATCTAAATGGAAAAAACATGTGTTACATGATAGATGAGTCGAATAAGTCCGTACGGTTGCATGTCTATAGCAGTACGAAAAACCATTTAGTGACAATCAAAATAAAGTATTCGATTCCAGTCCCTGTTGAAGACTTGTGGTAGACGATTATTCACATACTCATTTATGTTTAAGGTGATGGTAAATTTTTTCTCATGACTAAAATAATATTGTTTTCGACGATATTCATGACATTGAAAGCGAAAAGAAAAACTTTGGGATATAATCTATGCAATTATCTTTTAAACAAGAGAATTGATGATTGATTTCAATCTCTACTAAAAACTTTATTACAGGATAAAACGGATCACTTAACAGTATATTTACCACAAGCAAATAGCGTATGTATTAGTTTGTTTTCCTCTTAAATAAATACTATTCAACACAGTTTTGTAATTAATTAATAGACTAATTTACAGAGAAAATTGTAATAGAAAACTTAGTCAACTTGTATGTTGTGTGCATGACTATGTCTAAATTAGTATGATTAAACATATATTTCATAAATATTAGGTCAATCTGAAACAAATTCATGATTCTGAAAGTTCATTCAAGGTACACATGTTGTTTGCTTCATTTTCACTTCCATTGATCTTGCATTTCTCTGATTGTTAACCTGTTCCTTTTTTGATTGAATGAACTATCAGATTAGATAACCTATTCAGAATTGAGAAACTTAAGTACATCATGTTGTAGATCAAGTCGAGATGAGTCGAATGTTATATTGTAAATCTTATTTTAATAAGATTAGAATCAATTTACTGATAGACAACTATGCATTCAAAGCATGATTAGTAACAAATCCTGTCCTGGGTATATAGCCGCCTATCAGTCAATGGTCTCTAGTCTTATTAAAATAATATTTATTAAATACTATTCGACGCACTTCGATTTTCTCTACAGCACGTTATATTTTGTTTCTCAATTCTGAATAGATCATCTAATCCAACAGTTTCTTTATTATTATTATTATTATAATTATTTACATATTCTAGCAACAACCTCAATATCCGAATATTAATTTTGGTCCATCGATTCCACCACCACCATTACCACCGGCTCCACCTTCATCAAATATGCCTCGTATTGGTTTTAATATTAATAATGATACTAAAGCACCATTTATTGATCCATTTCCACAAGTACCTAGTGCACATGATCGTTCAACATCGACCCCACCACCACTACCTCCAGCAATGAATGATAGCTCAAATGATCCAGGTTTTGATGATTTAGCTCGTCGATTTGAAGAGTTAAAAAAGCGTAAATAAATGCATAATGATCGCATATCAAATAAACTATGTTTTTTTTTGACCTTGTTACTTGTATTTACCCGTGCACAATTATGACGTTTTTTTTTTATATTTAAGCTCCTATATTTATACATAATATATATTGACAAACATCCATAGTCGTGTATTGTTGAGCTTTATCCTGTGTTTACTATTGATTATATTTGATAATGTTATTTGTATTTGACGTCTAACGCTTGTCTTTTCTTTCTTTATAGTGAATATTTTATTGAAATATTTTCTATTGAAAACTTCTTTTCTTTTTTCGTGATTGTTAAAATCGATACAGAGAGAAGAAAGCAATTGACATTGATCATTCAACTTTCATATTAAAAATATATAAGAAGAAAAATACGATGCAAAAGTTCGATGATATTAAAAATTAATAGAAAAGATATAAATAACTAAGACTGAATATTCAGTAAAATCTGATTTATTATTCTTTCATTAAGAATTATTTATTCATAATCAAAGCTAAATATTAAATTGCTCGAAGTTTTTACTGTTGCAATCTTCGTATCACATAGAAGACAGCATTCGAAAACTTCGAGTCTAGAACAATTTTTGCTCCATCCATCGGATCTAGTTGTTTTTGAAAACTTCAAATTTTTCTGATGAGCCGTTCTTCAAACATCTCCTAAGTAGAGGAGTATCATTAACTTATGTTTAATATGAAGAGAGAAATAAGTTAAATCTATTTAAAACAAAAAAAATTTCCATAATACACTATCAAAATATTCTAATCGACTTGAAATAAGATAAATTACATGAAATTTGTAATGAATTTTGCGAAAAAAACCAACATCATTTTTTCTTATATTGATTTACATTCACACATATGTGTGACATAACTTATTTTGTATTCATATTATATCTCTAATGTTTAATCAGAATGTTATAAATAAATGATTAAAGAATTTTTTATTTCTTTATGTTTACATGCAAAGAAAACTTATTAAACATGAGAAAAGAGAATATTCAATAAAATCAAACTATTGGTTTAAAAATCACGAGTATTCTTTTTTTCAGTTCCACATTATGATGTTGCCAAAACAAAGAGAGGTGTACACCTCGACAACTATAAGTGTAATGGCCATACTCTTTAAAGAAAAAATTAGTTTGAAAAAACAAATTTAACTAATGGAAGTGACACCTTATACGCCAACAGACTATTCTCTTGCGAAAACAGATCATAATGTACAAAGATTACCTCCTATTCATTCGGGTGATTTAGTTTCAAAGTAAAAATTCATCATCATTTCTTATTTTCTTTCTCATGTATGTCTCTTTAGATCTGATGAAACACCAGTTTATACAGTTCATAATACTCGTTATGCATTACCAGCGTCAAATATTATTCGAGTAAATTATTTTTTTTTTTAAATTTGTTTATCTTAACAAATTAATTTTAGAGTATATCTGATCAACAAAGTGGTGAAATTGATTCATGGCCAGCAAATGCTAGTGGTGGTAGTGGTGCTTTTAGAACTTTAGCATTAACTAATCAAGGTCGTTTAGTACCAATAGGAACAAGTTTACGAGGAAAATTGGATACAACACCTAAACCTAAATTTTTAGCAATTATTGAAGAGTATCTTTATAGAGAATTGAAAGCACTTGGTGTAGAAGAATCAACAGCCAATGAATCACGTTTACAAGTAAGATAAGTTTTATTAATCATTTTATATCATTAAATTTTTTCTTCTATAGGTTTTTCGTGAAGTATTTTCAACAATTATTGATGATTTTAAAACATATAAACCACTTTTATCAGCAATTAAAAATGAATATGAAATAATGTTATCACATCTTAATGATAAAATAAAAGAACTTGAACCACTTCGTGTAAATTAGAAAAGTTTTCTTTTGAAAGTCGAAAATAAATAGAATTTTTTTTCTTTTTGTTTAAGCAACAATTAGTTTTGTTAAGTGAACAATGTGATAAAAAATTAATGCAATATCGTAAAGAAGAACGAGAAGAAATATTATTATTAAAAGAAGAAAAACGACGTTTACAACAAACTATTCGTCAATTAACAAATCAAAATCAAAATCTTGAAACAAATATTCAACGAGTAAATCTAATCAAATAATATTTGAAGATAAAAAAAAAACTAGAAATATTTACAAAATTAATTTTAGCTTCAAGAAGAAGTATCAAATCAATATCAACTTTATCGAAAAGAACTTGATGCAAGAAAATTATTAATTAATGATGCAAATGATCTACGTAATCAACAAGAAAAACGTACTGATGAAAAAGAAGGACTTGATGAACAAGGAATGAAAAAAGAAGATCCAATTATGATGAGAATAGCATTGAAGTTAGTATAAAATAATTTTCTAAGCAATTAATACATTTAGGATCTAATCTATTCAAACAATAGAAATGTAAGAAAAGTTTTAAATATTAAAAACAAACATTAAAAATATTTTGTTTTCTTCATTTAAATCATTCCATTCATCATAGCGCTAGCAGATACGAAATGGCCACAACTAAATTTGAGGAACTAATTTAAAAAAAACGGCTTCATAGCATCATATCTCCATAGTTATAAGTAGATCCTTACATGGAAGTCTGGGTTATATGAGTACAATAGTTGAGCATTTTTCACTTAAATAATGACAATATTATTCTTTATGTGTTACAATTAATAAGCTATAACACACTATTTTATACACTTATAAATAAGTTTCAACAAAATAAAACAGCAGGAGGCATTCTCATTAACAGGTAATACAAAAAAACACCATACATGATAGTCGAAAAACAATTTCCCGGTATTAGAGGTGCAGAAGTGAAAAGTTTTCGGAGTCAAATAGTGTGATTCAGTAGGACTCTTGCCTTAGCTAAATCTTAGAATCGTTGTGGACATATTTTTTTTATGAGTCTTCTTGTTTTTGTTCTAATTAAAAAAGCTATTCGATTGAGACAGTGTTCATTTGATGAATACTTGTGATTAAAAGAAAATTCTCTAATGATTAGATTTTCTGGATCTTCGTACTCGAGATATCAATTAGTTCATTGGACAAGTTATACCTTTCTTAGTATCTCCTATGTTGAAATATTTAATCTTCGAAATTCTCTTAGATTTCAAAACAAATTTTTTTTATATAGTTACATCACCAGAGAAGAGCTACTAAAAAAACAAAACCTGCATTCTCAACTAATCTCATTGAAAATTGTATTCGTGTAAAGTTTGAGGTCGAAACTTGCAAAGTAGTTTTTGACATAACCTAAAAAGAACAAAAAATCAGTAAAATTTCGGCACCTGAAGAACGAAGACTTTTAAAACCAAACTATTCTAGACTTTTCTATTATTCATCAAATGAACATTAATATCCGTTAAGAAGCAATTTGACATCTGTAGAGCTCTCTTCATAAGATATCAAGGTTTTAGTATAACTTTTCTGCAACACTCCGCTTTTCTGATAAAACTAGATTTTCAAATTTTTTCCGAAAGCTGTTTTCATATTAAGACTTTACTCAGATTAACTTGTCTGCAAAGTTCAAGAATTTTTGGATAAATTATCTTTGATATACTTGTACGTTAGCATATTAATACTTCTGGGTTTTGGATAGTGTGATAAGACTTCAAGGTGAACGAAAGTTCTGATCAAAATTCGAGAACTTAATTTTAATAGAAAGATTGAGTGTTGACCGAAAGCTATAGTTAAAAGTCAGTGTCTAACTCGGATTTCAACTTACACTGATATCCTTTAAGGCTTTTTTTTTAGTCTATACATCTTGTATTTGTGTACAAAACTAGAGCACGAAAGTTTTTTATCGTCTGAAGAAGTTCTTTCGTAAATATAATTAAAGCGAAATATTCTACTAGAATTATTTCTCTCCAAAGATTTTGAAGTTTATTAACTCTTCAAAAATAACTTTCTTCTCGAAGATATTGTCTCTAAATGTGAAAGTCAATTAAGCTCTATTATTTACTTTTCTAATAAAAAACAGTAAAACATACAATTGTTTGAACAGTATCCAAGTAATTTTAATAATAGAATGTCATTAATTCAATTTGAAAGTCATTTCCATTAACTTTTCTTTGTATCATTACATAGGCAAGCACGTAAAGATCTTAATGCAGCACTTGCAAAAATAACACATATGGAAGCTAATTATAATGATGTTATACCAAGACGAGATTTTGTTGCATTAGAAGCTAAATCAAACGAATATCTTGAAAGAATAAAAGAATTACAAACTACAAATGAAAATCAAAGTCAAGCAATTGAACAACTTCGAACACAAAATGAGTATGATTTATATAGATTAAACTTTAATATTTTAATTATTTATTTATTTTAGAAATCTTAAAGAAGATATTCAACGTTTACAACGTGAAAAAGATGAATTAAATGTTAAAAATGAAAATATTCATGATGAAATGACACCACGGTAAAATTTCCTTAATGTTCTTTTTTTTTTGGTATAATTTATTTGAAATTATTTGTTTCTTTTTTTTATAGACCATCATGGCATTTAGCAGGAGAAGTTATTGATGGTGGTGTTGAACGTTGGCAGAATGTATCAGCAAATAAAACAAGTCAAGAAAAACTTATTATTTTACTTAATGAATTTACTGGTGGTGGTAATGATGATGATGGTAGTGGAAATCAATCACAAAACAGTTCAGTACCTGATCAACTATCACCACGTGGTGAAGGTGAACAAGTTCCATTTCATTTACGTTCATCACGACCAGTTAAAAATCGACGATTAGTACGACGTGATGTAGCTGTTCTTATTCAAGAAATTTGGACAGAACGTCGTATATCAGATAAACAAGTATATTTAATTAGTTTTTTTCTTTTTTCATAATTTTGTTTGTTTTAATTTTAAGGATGGTCGAACAAAAAGTTTATCTGAATTTATTTATGAATTTTTTCGTAATCGATATGGAAATCATAATACAGCTGTTGAAATGGGTTATAATTTAGATTTTGCATGTAAACGTTTTAAACATAATGATAATTGTCAATTATTCTATCATATTTTATCTGGAGAGGTTATTTATTTAGTTTTACAATGTAAAAAATAATATTTTCAAAATATATATCTTTTTAGGCTGATGAAGATATATATCATTATACAAAAAATCTTATTGAACAACTTGCTGAACGTATTATTAAAGAAAGTGAAACATATCCAAATGGTTCTGTTACAAGTGAAAAATTTCAACATATGTTAACAAAATATTTACCTAATAAATCATCAACTGATATTTCTGAATTAGTTTCTGCTGCTGAAAAAGAACAACCACACGAAGAACAAATTTCTTTAGCTAAATTATTTTCTGTTGTAAGTTAAAAGAATTTTTTTCTTTTTGATCAAGTTCGAGTTAACAGTTCTTTTTTTTCTATATTTAAAATATTCAAAATAAAAAAAAAAATGTTTTTGTTTTTGTATTTAGGATGATGAAGATAATTATGGTGAATTTATTCGAGTTTTAAAACGACAATTAAATGAAGATAAACAAAGTTATGTTCATGATGTAGTAGAAAAAATTGAAAGTTTAAGGTAAAAGAATCCTTTTTTTGTTTTTGTTTTTTTGAAAAATACAAAGTTTTTATTTTTTTAAGTTCGGTTACTGCAAAAGATTTAGAACAAACTTTACGTGCTATAAATCCTCATATTCAACCCAATGAATTAGCTCATATTGTTCAATGGACATTTGAAGCAAAAGATGGAAGTCAAGTACCATCAATGAATGTTCATGATATTTTACAACGCCTTCAAAATGGTGTCTTTTATCGACAACATGCTTTATCCTCATAAATATTTTTTTATTTTATGAATAAAATAAATTTCGAATAAGTTTATATGCTTTTGACCATGATTGAAATAATTCAATATCAATTAATTTAATATCAGTATATGGTAAAAGTTCTTTAAAAAAATAGATATTAGGTCGTTGTTCAAATGCTAATATCAAACAAGTTTTATGTTCATATGTTTCAGTATGATTAAGATGTTTAAGATAAATTGTACCATATAATTGATATTTATAACAATGTTTTATAATTTTCCAACATTGTTTACGTTTATATTTAATAATTTGATGTAAAACATTTTCACCTTGGTCATTTTGAAGATCAAGACGAGCACCGAATTTAATTAAAATTTCAAAGAAAGGAATTTTCTACATATAAAAATATGAATTTAGAAAAAGAAAATATATTAAATTAATCATACGTTCATCATAACAGCATAATGAGTAGCTGTATGACCTGTTAGAGTTTGTATATTAAGATTACATTCAGGTTTTTTAACAAGAGCCATCATGATAGTTGTATCGGTCGATGTAAGACAATCAATTAAGGCTGTACGATTTTCATGATCAGTTTCATTTATATTTACACCACGATTAAGTAAAAAAAGAACACCTTCATACCAACCTACTTCAGCAGCAATAGAAAGTAATTTTCGACCTGTATCTTGTTCACCATAATTGAATAAATAAGGCAATCTATCTTTTTGACTAAGAATAATAAGAATATGTTTTGAATGTAAACGAAATCCATTAAGAATATGAAAATCTTCAATTAGATTTTGAGATTTTTGTTCCATAGATGAAAATAAATCTTTTTTGTCTTGTTGAATACGAACAACTTGAGCGATCTTTTTTAATTCTTCAGCATCAGCTAAATCACCAATATTAACATCGAGAGAATCGGATGAATAACAATCTGTATTATGTTGTCTTTTATTTTTAGACCAACGAAAAATTGATTTAGATTTAATCAAATTTAATAGAGAATCAAAATGTTGATCACCACCCGCTTGAACATTCGTTGATGTTGAACTTCTTAATGATAACTCTAATAATAAAATAATTCGTCAAGAAAAATAATCTATTACAATTAAAATAGAAAAAGAACTAATTATTGTTTTACTGTATAATGAATTTAATAAAACATTGACCTATACTAATTTCAATTCATTCATTAGTATCATCATTCATATTCAAGGTTATGTCTATGAAAGATACATTATCTTTTTCTCTCTTAACATCTTCTTTGTCGATTACCTTGATATATAAGACGATTTCTAACATAAGGTCTTCATGTTGCAAATTAATAAGGTCAGATACATTCGAAATGCACCCTACTCAGAAAGTGAAAGTTTAATAGTATTTCTTGTTGTCATATTTGTATAAAGCTCATCGAATTACACGTGACAGAAGTATCAGTAAAATTGCAGACACCTAGAAAGTTGCAAAAGAAAATATAGCGTTCCAAAATGAATATCATACGGACATCAAAATAACTCGGAGTGTATATGTCCGCAAAAAGGACAATATTCCAATTGAAAATAAAAGCGCAGTCGAGAATGGGTGTTTATAGGTTTTACGAATATCTATAAGCAAATGTACGCTTAAATTTTAAATAAGTATGTAACGAAAATCAGAATTTCGAAAGAAGAAAGAGTACTTCTGCTTGTCAGCTACCTAGTGGTATGAGATACTGTCTGACGACAGACATTGAACAATTTGATATTTTTCCTACAATAATGACTAGTTGTATCTCTGGAGAGCAGGTCAATCTGACACAGACTTTTTTTGCTTAATTGCTCTACTATCACATACACACTAACTAATCACAAAAACAGATGTGTCACAACGTTTTTAGCATATTATCGAACGGGTAATCCGAGACAAATAACGATTATCGCCTAGTTCAACGTCAGCCAAGAGGCTGACGATACTGAGATTTGCACTCAATGCCTCATATACAACAAAAATAATTTTACTAAAATTCAGATTTGTAAGTACGTTACAAGCATCATAGATATCATAGAATCGTAATATCTCTATCCAACACTGGCTTATATCCTAATTATGTTTGTTTAGTGATGGCAAATTTCAGATTTCCCACCACAAAAAATCAATTTTCGTCAACAGAATGAAAATTGAAATAAATGCATAGGAAGATCGATCGAGGTCTCATCTTTCATAAATGACATGACTTTTATTTGAAACCGTGTTTTCCAAAAATTTGTGATGATTTTTGTTATTTTCTTTAGCAACAGCTGAAAGTATTATTCATCTCTTCTCTCTTTATGCATTTTTGAATCACGCAATACACAGTTCTCTATGGACCTTCATTCTATATATATATATATATATTTAATCTTCTTTCGTTTGAACGAGCATATCAAGATGCAGGGCATGATCAAGTGCCTCTGTTAAAGTAAGCTTTGCTACTATTATATAAAAGAGTAAGTTATAATTAGAGTGCCAGCTTTTGCCACATTAAACTTTTCTCCCCTTAAGTAAGAATTTAAAAAAAAGAGATCTATCATACTCTTTCACATAAAAAAAAAGCTTAAATATATAGCACGAAGGCCCAGCGAGAACGTTAGGTTGTCCGATGAGACTTTTTTTTTACCTTTGTTAGTTACATATTCCCTGAAAACATCATTGATATAGAGGTGAAAAATTCATGCGATTTGAATGTATCTAACTGAATATTGATTTCCGAACACAGCCCGAGATCCTTAATTTCATTGTTCGAAAAGCTTATGTTAAAATTTAACTAACCATCATTTGTTTCATTAATCATATTTTATAGTATAATTGATTTAATCGAAATCAACAATGTATTATTCATTTATATATAACAAAATTTAAATTCGAAATATTTCTCGCGCACAAATTTTCTTTCTTTTTTTTTGTCAGATTCAATTCTTAAATATAGAAGAAAGAACAGAAAGAGAATATAACAACTCGATGTGTACATATTGTCCAATAAACAAACAAAAGACAAAAAAAAGATTTGCTAAAAATACATGACCAAATGAAAAAAAAAAGAAAAAAACTTAGACAAGTGTTTCGAGTTGACTATTTTGTGTATGAAGTTTTTGATGTACAAGAGACATTGTATGATTATTATTATTATCATCACTTGTTAAAGAATTTATTCCTGAATCTTCATCCGCTTCTTTCAGAGAAGTAAATACAACATTTGTTCCTGTTGTTGTAATATCAAGTGTATCATATGTTGGTTGTTCATCAATATTATTTGTTCGAAAATTTTGTGATATTAAATAATTTGGTGTCAGTGATCTTGATGTTGTCATTAAATTTGATGATGATGTTTCATATTCAAGATATTTAAGTTCATCATATTTAGTTGCAAGTAATATTTCAATTTCACGTAATGATAAATCAAAATCATGCATTTCTTTTGATTGTATACGTGATAATTCTCGACTACGATATATAGAATTTTTTAATGTTATTAAATCATTTGATATTGTTGAATTATTATTATCATTTATAGATGATGATAATGTACAAGGCAATATATCATAATGTTGTTGATGTAAAACATAATTTAATTCATTTGATATAGCTTGTTCAACAGCATATAATATATTTGTTTTTTCATCAATACGTTCTTGCATATTTATTATTGAATTACATAATTGTGTTGCAAATAGAAGTTGATCTTGTTGATCAATTTGATGAGAAAATAAACGTGATATATCATTTAATGTTATTTCATTATTTAATATTATAGATGAATCTTTTAAATAAGAATTTCTTGTTAGAATATTATTTGAAATAGGTGTTAGAATATTTTCAGTTTCATGAATTTTTTCATCAAGATAATCAAGTAAACGTTTTTGTCTTTCAATTATATTCATATTTTCATGAATATCATTTATAGATTTTTGACGATAGATTATTTGTGATTGTCCTTGAGTATTTCCAATAGATATTAATGATGAATCGGATTGTGAAGATGGAATTAATGATGGTATAGGTGATAGTGATTGAGATTTTGCTGATAAAAAACGACGAAAAATTTTTGAACGAAATTTTGATATTGATGCATTATTATCAATTAATGATGATGTTGATATAAGATGAAGAATTGTTAATGGTAATTTATCAAATTGCCAATTTTTATATGCTTTTATCACTTTAGCACGACCTTTCATAATACGTTGAGTGATAAGTGATGGTGTTTCAGAATCATTATTATTTGATGAAGATGATACTGTCAACTGTGTACATTCAGCTATAGCATAACCTGTTATATTATTATTTGATGATGAATTTGTTGTTCCGGATGTTTTAAGTAATTCAGCTTGAGCTAATAATGCATAAATAAGATCATCGAATGTTGTCTTTTTTGTTATACCAGTTACCCATTTACGTTTACCCAGTACCCAAACAGGTATGTCAAGTGTCAATTCGGTAGTATCCGATGAATTATTAATATTATTATTATTATTATTATTTGTTGTTGTTGTTGTTGTTGTTGTCGACATGTTTACAAAATGTTCGTCTAAAATGAATGTTTAAATGTATTTTGAGAGATAATATTTGATTAGGGATAACGTTCGATTTTTTTTTCTTTTCCAATCCGTTTTATCGAGATGTTTGAGAAAGAGAAAAAAAAAGGGAGAAGCCTTGATTGCAAGGTAGTATGCATAAATAAAAAGGGAGAAAAGGAGTACTTATGAGCATAAGCTCAATATATGGATGAATAAAGAAGAACAACAATGAATGAATGTTGGGTCAACATCATTGCTTTGAATCAAAGCAAAGAGACTGATATTCGAACCTTTTAGGACAGAAGCCGACTAAGTAATAACAAAAGGATCTAAGCTGATACATGTCTATCCACACAATTTCATTTATTCTTTTCTTATTTGTATAAACATGGAGAGATTGATGGATACAAAAATAAACAAAACTAAATCAAAAGCAAGAATCTACGTGTATACCTTCTATAAATTCTCTCATGTACGCTTTTCTCTCGTTGTTTGATTTGCTTATATGGTTTTTTTGTAAGCTATCAAGACAGTTGTGCTCATGTGATGCTGTAATCATCTGTATGTACTATTGTTCTCATCTTTGTTCTAATCAAACCTAAGCAATATGCCTTCCTTATTCATTACAGAAGCTTACTTTTCTATCTTTCTTGTTCTAATTCTCAATGTCTGTTGTGTGTAATGGTAACCATTAGAGTTTAATATTCTTGTTTACACTCACCATCATGATGTAATCCCTGTATTTCTTCTCATATATTAATGACCTACCTCGTCTGATGACTAGTACGTTGTTGCCGAGATATAGACAGACGAACGCCGCTCAATCTCTTCTTTTTTCTCGTCTAATATACAATTTTACCAATATCGCACACCCATACACGCGTAAATGAATGAAGAGTAGAACGTTATGAGAGACTAACAGCCGTATTCGACGTTTTCTTTTTCTTTTTCTTCGTTATACGTCCGTTCATACATATCGATATGTCCTGCTCTTCTCGTCGGTTAGACAGAGAGGTGAATACATGCATCTGTTCCTTCTCTGTATTTCTTTTTTTGTTATTTCTAGGTCACTCTCTAATATATGATTGAATCAATCATTATACATGGAATTTTTATTAATAAATGAAAAAAAAAAATAAGTGTATGACGCTTTTAGAACTAGAGGTAATATATTTTGAGGTGTTCAATAAGCAGACAGAAAGAAAGAGAGAGTAAGAGGGGAAAAAAGCACGAAAAAAAAACCCTTTTTTCCTACTCATGTCATTCACAGTCTTTTACTAGGCAAAACCTAATTGTTGTCTGGTGCACTTGACTATAATTGCTTGTGTTTGCGTAATATGACAACTAAGATATAATTACGGACCAATTTACATTTGATATAGAAAAAAAGTGACAGGAAGTAGTTTTACACTGGTTATATATATATATATTCTGAAAGACAGAGAACACAAAAAATGATGAGCATGTATAAAGCGAAACTATTCAATGCCAAGTAGACATAAATGAGGAAAAGAAAAAAAAAACTAAATGTGCATTTATACAAATATATATGTCTATCGGCTATAACGGAAACGAATGTATGTGCTTGATTGAATCAACAATTTGAACATCCGGATTCCTTTTCTTTTTTTATACTAACTAATAAAGTATACTAGTATATGTTGATGTTAACAGAAACGGGATAGAAAAGAAAAATTAACTGTAAAAAAAATGAGGACATGACTCGTCTATTTAAATTTCATGGTTGTCGTAGATAAATGATTCAAAAGTGTCAAACATAGAGAAAAAAAGATGAAGACAAAAGATAATTGCTTTTTATGTTTGTCGATGATATCGAATGTTCTTCGTGCTTGGCGTAGAGTAATCCCTCTAGCATATACATTCAACAGCAATGGTTTCTTTTCTTTTCCCTTGTTCGCAAACACACACACACACACAAGCGGTTGATCGATATTCAATTACATCATACATATGCGAATATGCACAGCCTTGTGTTCACTGCTGTAATTTTCTTCTTACAGAATTTATATACAGCAGCAGCCATTTCTTCTCAAGAGAAAATGAATGAAATAGAAGTCGTAATCGAGACAGTTGACGGCAAAAATCGACAGATGCTAGAAGCAAACATCACTTTTAATTAGTCATGATTTATTATTTTGTAAGCTGTTACGATAAAAAACTAACTGCTATATACTAGAGATTTATATCAAACATATTTTCTTATCAGTTTTTTTATGATATAAAAAAATCTTAGATATTTTATTCGTAACCTTGCTACAGATGATATTTATTATCATTGTATGAAATCAAATTAATATCAAGTTGGTCTTTTTTAAATATCTGTTTTTCTTCTTCTCTTTAATTAAATCGAAATAAAACTTAACTTTACCAAAGAATAATAATACGTTTTACTTACTATGACCTCGTATACATTGGTTCATCATTATTATTTTATGCTTAAAACTAAGATATCTGAATATATGTATGGTTTCCTTTCTATTTTTTTTTTGTGTAATAAGCATATGGAATATATACAAAAACGATAACAAATGTCGTCATCTTTCTCTCTCTTGCACATTCTCATATACATTCGATAATTGATTAGAAAATTCACACAAAGGAATAAATTCTAACGAGAGCAAAAAAACAAGGAATTGATCGAATAGTGAGAATTGTCCAGTATATTATATATACTGTTTAGCATAACAGACACGTAAATAAATAAATATATGATTTTCACGGTATCTTCTAAAGACCATGAACTTCTTTTTTCTTTTGGTTTTATATTTATTATGGCCTTTCACTTAGTAAATGTTAATATGGGTTATTTCAACAATTTACTGTTACATGTCATTGTTGTCGAACATTTTAAGTTTGAATAAACATTAACACGTTCGACAAATATAACCTCAAGTAACGAAACCTTAGAGCATTTTATATGTTCGTCCATTTGCTGCATATTAATAATATGATGCATTTATATGTTCGTTTGACTCTATGCCGTTGAGTCTAGACGATTAATTGAAATGTTAACTGTAGTTATAAATGACGAACAAGGTTGATATGAAAAAAAAAAATTGCGCGACGTCAAAAAACTTACGTTTATATAATTTATGTTAAGTTGAGTTATTTTTTCAATTACTCGTATCTGATTTTCTGTCGTATAATAAACCATAGAGAAGAAAAAGTATATTCTATAGCAATATAATGAACGATCTAGTAACTATATATATATATAGGTCTCACTATTAAAAAATCTCTTGAGATCAGAGAAAAA